AGAATACAGATGAGTACAGGGCTACAAGCAATAGCCAAGGATTTGGATTGGTCTCCAGTGCTAATGGGAGCTTGGAATACCAATAAGAGATGAGGCTACCATAGAGGTTGCAGGAAGAATTTATTTATATAAATAAATAAATGGGAATAGATGTTGAATTTTATTAAATGACATTTCAGCATTTATTAGGTTAACTTAGCAGTTAATGAATAACATCGGTTTTCCAGCGTTGAACCATTCCAGCATTTCTAGAATAAGCTTTATTTATCTATGGTATATTATGGATTGATACCTTAAGATTTGATTTGATAACATTATAAATAGAATTTTTGCATCTATATTCATTGATGAATTTGGTTTAAAGTTTTTCCGTTTGGAACTTATCAGTGTTTAGTTTGGGGTTAGACTAGACTTACAAAATGAATTAGTAATATTTCCAATATTCAAAATGTAAATGTTTTATTAAAACTCTAAGGGATTTTTATTTCAAAAGTTTGATAGGACTTACCCTTCAACCTATGCTTTCAGAAACTCCACTGGAGACTGTCATGCTAAGAAATTTGTGCTTAATCCTTAAAGGAAGAGATAAGTAGTTCTGAATTTCAAAGAAATCACTTTGGCCTTAGTAGGAGAATAGTTCATAGGGACAGAGTACTAGAGACAAGAAGTCCAGTTAGGGGCTATTACAATATATTATTCAGATGAAAATTGTGATGTGCCGACAGTGGAGATTGGAAGTCAGAGCCAGCTTTTAAGAATATTTAGTAAAAAATATTTGGTGATTGGATGTGGATGTTAAGAGAAAGAAAAGCTTATCCTATGACCCATATAACTCAGGTTTGGGTAACTGAGTGGTATAATTCACTGCAATAGAGCATAGAAGAGGAACAAGTAAAAGCAAGAAAAAAATACATTCCATTTTATACACACTGATTATGAGGTGCTATAGGCTATCCAAGTGAAGACTCATAGGTTATTGGAAATACTGATTTGGAACTCACTCAGGAGAGAGGCATGGGCTGGAGTTTATAGATGAGGGAACCATCTGCATGAAGGAGGCAGTGAGGTCGTAAGAGTAAATGAGATTATCCTTTGAGAAATCATAAGGTTAGAAGGCAAAAGGACATAGGACGGAACTTTTGCAAAATAGTCTTTTCTTGAATCATGAGGAATAGAGGAAAGTATATGGCAGTCATAGTTTGTACAGATATATACGTGAACACAAAGCTCTTTCCTCAATTGAAAGTGCACAGTAGCTCATATTCTGGTCTTCACAGTACATTCAGAATACAAGAGAGCTTTCTGAAGAACTACTTTGTATGTACCAATATAATCTCTTGTCTTATCCTGAAAGTACTTTTCAGAATGCTCTCCAGTTTCTCTCTGATTAAACAGCGTCTAATCCAGTGCTTTGGGCCAAATCAAAAAATAAGGGGGCAGTCACAGGAGGGCTGTCTATAATACGAGTCCCAGAGCTGAGGCAAAAAAATAGTCTAAAGAACCATCTCACCAAGAGATAGCATGCCAGCCAATGCAAGGGAAGAGAAGCCCGAAAATAGGGAAACAAGAGTCAAATGAATGTTGTCAAGCCAGCGGGTCGAGATAAACTGCAAACCAAATCAACATAGAAAGGAACTGTGGGAGGACCGTCAGAGGCAAGCTGAAGTTATGGTTGGGTTGTAGAATGGTTCAGGGACTAATTTCACTTATGGGACATTTTGGTCCATTGTGGTATCCTCATATATGTGGCTCAGCACCTAGGAGGGTGTTCTTGGGGAACTTGGCCATACCAGAGTAGGAGGGTAGATTTTGTCCATGCTTGTGGCTTATAAATCGTTTCCACTTTTCTCCCCATTTAGGGCTGCAAAGTAGTCGGAGCAGCAGGGTCTGACGAAAAGGTTGCTTACATGAAAAAGCTTGGATATGATGTTGCCTTTAACTACAAGACAGTAGAGTCTCTGGGAGAAACTTTGAAAAAAGCTTCTCCTGATGGTTATGATTGTTATTTCGATAATGTAAGTACACATTAGGCTTAATATCTGATATACTAACAAAGCACTATACAAGGGAACACACTTCTGGAGTTTCCATCTAAAATATTGGGAATGTACATATGCCTGTTAAAAAAAAGAGCTTTATTGAGATATAATTCACCAATTTAAAGTGTAATAATTCAATAGTTTTTAGTATATTCATTGAATTATACAACCAACGCCATACTCATTAACAGTCACTACCAACCTCCCACAAAAAGTGGTCTTTTGTGACTGGCATTTAGCAGGTTTTCAAGGTTCGCCCATGTTGAAGCATGCATAAGTACTTCATTTCTTCTTGTGGCCGAATAATATTTCATTGTATTGCTATATCACATTTTATTTATGCATTCATCAGTTGATGTGCATTTGAGTTATTTATACTTTTTGGATATTCTGTGTAATGCTGCTATGAACATTCATGTACGAGTTTTTGTGTGGATATGTTTTATTTCTCTTGGGTATATTACCTACAAATGGAATTGCTGGGTCATATGGTAACTCCATGTTTAACATTTTGAGGAACTGCCAAACTATTCTGCAAAATGGCTGCACTATTTTATATTCTTACCAGCAACATATGAAAGTTCCAATATCTACACATCCTCACCAACACTTATGATCTGTCATTTGATTATGGCTATCCTAGTGGGTTTAAAGTGATAATTTCATTGTAGTTTTGATTTGCATTTCCTTAATGACTAGTGATACTGAGCATCTTTTCATGTGCCTTTGGCCATTTGTGTATCTTCTTTGGACAAATGTATGTTTGAATCCTTTGCCCATTTTTCAGTTGGGTTATTTCTTGAGTTGTAAGACTTTTTTATACATTCTGGAGTTCCTTATCAGATACAGTTCTTAGTATATTCCTGGTAGTTATGTTCTTAGTATATTCCTGGTAGTTATGTTCTATAAAGTCACCACAGACACTAAACCATTATTGCTCCTAGGAAAAGCATGTACATATATGCACATATCTCCACATATCTCACTTAGATTACAATCTTAAATCCTAAAAATAACTCTTCCTATTGCTTCCATTTTCTTTATTTTACAAAAGAGAATAGGAGGTTCAGAGAAGTATCATGTAACTTGCCTGAGGCTGCCCCACTAACTAATCCTCCCAGAGTTGGGAGTCATGCCCCATCCAACTGGCCCCAGAGCCAGAGATTCTTGAACTTCACTGCACTGCCCCCTACCATCTTCACCCCCTGGTAATATCCTATGAGAGCTGAAAAGAAGGCAGAGCCGTGGTCCTGTTTGACTTTAGCTAGGAACCTTGCATCTCTTTTGTTGCTGTGCACATGTCTGCAAATGACCAGGGAAAACTGTGAGTGTTGATTGGGGGGTTATAAATAAATTTTAACAAGTAGTCCACTTCGCAAATACAAAATCCACTAATAATGAGGATTGACTCTGTATGGTTTGCAAATATTTTCTCCTATTCTGTTGTTGTCTTTCCCTTTTTTGATGGTGTCTTTTAAAGCACAAAATTTTCAATTTTGACGAAGTCCAGTTTATTTTTTCTTTTGTCACTTGGGCTTTTGGTGTCATGTCTAAGACTACCCAAAGTCATAAAGATTTACTCCTTTGTTTTCTTCTGAGAGCTAAAGCTCTTACATTTAGGTCCTCGTTGCATTTTAAGTTAATTTTTATGTATAGTGCAAAGGAGTCCAGTTTCATTCTCTTTCATGTAGGTATTCAGTTATTTTACACCATTTATTGAAAAGACTTTATTCCCCTATTGAATTGTTTTGGCACTCTTGTCAAAATCAATTGACTATAAATGTAAGGGTTTATTTTTGGACTCTCAATTTAGTTCTATCAATCTATATTTCTATTTTCACATTGTCTTGATTAATATATCTTTGAAGTAAGTTTCAAAATTGGAAAATGTGAGTCCTCCAACTTTGTTCTTTATATACCATTTGAGTACTTTTCCATACTTTTAGGGCAACGAGATTATTGAACTGATGAGAGAACCTCACAAAATAAGGAAGTAAAATTTGTAAATTATATAAAGTATGTTCCTACAGTAAAATGGTAATGCCCACTTTCTAATGTCTATTTCATATTGCAATTTTCTGCACTGTTGTGCTAATTCAGTCAGTTTTGTTGCTGCTAAAACAAGTAATATGAAATGAAGACTGTGACATAATGATTCCCCAGAATCTTCTAGTGTTTAGATTATTTAAAGGTTTTTTTGGGGTTTTTTTTTTGTCCTGTTTAGGTAGGTGGAGAATTTTCAAACGTTGTCATCTCCCAGATGAAGAAATTCGGAAGAGTTGCTATATGTGGGGCCATCTCTACATATAACAGTACTTGCCCACTTCTTCCAGGTAATTCACTCATGCACATGGTTACAGATACAGGAAGAGACTAGACAGGGAGAAGATTCACAGATATGGCATGAAAATATTATAAATATTTTAATGACTATCAAAATATTTAAAAGGTTTCCTGATATTCTTGATGGAAGAGTATTTATTAAAATAAAAATATATACTTTTATATATTGGTGCTAAATCGGCTTATATTAGATTGTGTTACAGAGAAATAACAAGATCTAAAAATGTGGAAGAAACACTTACAGTTATTAAAAGTTTTAGTTTTTTGCCTTTTGGTTCCTGCAAAGTTGTAAAAAGGCAGCCATGATTTGATTTAGAAACAGAACACCTTGGTCTAATTGGTAAAATATTAGGGTTCTTCAGGATATTCGGGATATTGCTGGAGGTGCGGGGATGGGTAGAGGGTGACTTCAGGTGGGTGAAGGGAAAAACAGGCTGCCATTTCCTTCAGTAAGTTGTGGACAGTGCTTCCTAGTACGGTGGGACACCCTGGCCTCACCAAACTGACAAATCCACTAAAAGGGAAGGAGCATACATTTTCGCTCTGTTCCTTGATTGTCCTTGTTTTGTTTTCTCTGTGCCTTGCCATGCCCTCTGTCCCCGACGTCTCTACTCTTTTATGCTCAGACCACGCCCTCTCACGTCCATACTCATAGTGGTCTAAAAGCATTATCAACTGAGAACTGTATTCATTGGTTCCCCATCTCTGACAGATGTGGTACAGGCCTCCTGCTTTACAGATGTGGAGATAGGTGATGGAGAGGACCAGCGACTCTTTAAATGCTATTAGTGACAGACTCAAAACAAAGACAGGTCTTCTGAACAACTCATACAGAGTTCTTTTCTGCTATAACAATCCTACACTTTGGGTGAGGTTCCAAATATAACTAGTCCAAAAAAAAAAAGAGAGACAGAACAAACAGGAAGTTTCCAGATTATCATCAGGATGGGGCAACCATAAATAAATTGATTTTTCATTCTATGATGGTCTGGACTCATGAGAATGAAACCTCACAGCCCTGCTAGTCAACAACACACAGCTGCACTGAGACAGGTGGGTGAGAGTAGAAGGCACTGAGGAAGGACAACCTGTATGTATGTTCCCTCTCGGCCTGTGAAAAATCAAAGACATCACCTTCTCCAAGAGGGAAACCCCAGGTTCACTCAGCAATCTTATTTTTAGGGACCTTTTTCTCCCTGTATTTTCGTAGTTGATACTAAGCTAGACTCATGGGAAATCTTCTGCCTGCCAGTTGAGCAAAGCTCCAAGATGCATTTTCCTGACCACAGTCCAATTAGGTATAGCCAAATGTTTTGAATCCAGCACCTTGATCTAGTCTTTTTAGCAGTTAATCTTTGAAAGTTCAGCTGCTCAGATAGGTCTTTAAGACGTCAGCTGGCCTTGCCCATTCCATTTTAATCAGATAGGATTCTGCCCTACCTCTGATCTCCAGAAATTCTAACATATTTCACTATTAGAATAGCTCAGAGGCAAGTAATGATTTCACCCAACTTTTATGCCACATTAGGTTTTTGTTCCCAAAAAGAAACCCACATTCCCATCAGGGTGGACAAGCCCAGAAACAGTATTTCGTCCTCTTCCAAGATGAGTAAATGAAGATTCCAGTCTTTAACCCAACAAGAAATATGGTTCGTGTGGGTCTTCTGAAGAAGCACTCTTTCTGCAAGATCAGTCTATCATTTGAATGTATCACTCTTTTATGTCACCCTCATGTCTCATTTATTTTGCATCACTTTCTCCTAATTCAGGACAAAGCCCAATTTTTCTGACTGCTGATGTAACTTTCTTCAAAGTAGCGAGTGAGAACTTGCAGCTTGAGTGATGCCAGTTATCAAAAATGTTGAAAATAGATTCTGCCACTCACCTTGGCTCTTCCAGCCCTGACTGGACCTGACTTCCTTGAACTTCAGGTGTTATTCCCTCAGTTTTTGGTCACTAAAGATCCTTGGGAAAATAAACGAGGCAATGAATACAGCCTTTTCTCTCTCACACAGAAGAGTACTGTCTTACAGGCTGCAGGGTAGCCTTGTGCTTTTTCTAGGCCAGTGGTTCTCAAAATGTGAGCCCAGGACCAGCAGCATCTCCATCTCCTGGGGACTTGTTAGAAATTCAAATTCTTGGGACCTACTCCAAAGCCACCATCAAATTGGGGGAGGGGCCCAGCAATGTCCTTTTACAAGCCCTCCATGTGATGCTGATACCCACGACAGTATGAGACCCACTGTTCAGGCTAACTCTTGGTACCCTGAAATGGCAAGGACAGGGGCAGGTGTGTCATTCTTGAGCAGCGCAGAAATGATTCCATATGTTACCTTCAGGACCTCTTTCTGTTCCCTAGAACTGTTGAGAAGCTTTTGGTGGACCTTGTTTCTGGCATATGAGCGGTGAATATTGCCTAGCTGCCTGGCCTGTGCAAGGATTCCTCATGTATTTCCTACTGCTGCTGTAACAAATCAACATGAACTTTGTGGCTTAAACCAACACAAATTTATTATCTTATAGTTTTGGAGGTCAGAAGTCTAAAATGAGTCTGCAGGGCTACACTCCCTCTGAACACTCAAGAAGAAAGTCCGTTTCCTTCCCTTTTCCAGCTTCTAGAGGCTGTCTGCATTTCTTGGTTCATGGTCCCATCTTTCATCTTCAAAGCCAGCACAGAAAGATTTCTCTCTCTGAACTCTGCTTCCTTCATCACATATTTTTTTCCTGACATTGATTTTTCTGCATTCCTTTTTCTCTTGCAAGACCATTGTAATTATATTGGGCCCACCTATATAATACACAATAATCGGACCATCTTAAGGTTCTTAATTATTGGCAAAGTCCCTTTTGCCATGTAAAACAACATCTTCACAGGTTCTGGGAATTAGGATATGGACATCTTTGGAGGCCATTATTCTGCTGACCACAAAGTGCATGTTGATTTGTGAGCAGCCCCTTAGATCAGAAGGAGTAGAGGAGACGGAAGAAAAAGCTTTAGAACAGTCACGTGACTTGCATGGCTTATTTGCACCATGGCTACCTCCCTGTACCCTGTTGCCCAAATGTGCCCTCTTCTTCACAGGCCCATCTCCTTTGGTTATTATCTATCAGGAAATCCGCATGGAAGGGTTCATCGTCTCCCGCTGGCAAGGAGATGTCCGCCAGAAGGCTCTGAACGACTTGCTGAAATGGGTCTCAGAGGTAAGGGGCCCTAGAGCCACTCCCTCCAAGTGTGCACTAGATCTCGTTTCCTTGAGCCACTCCCTCCAAGTGTGAACTAGATCTCATTTCCTTTTGACACTGCAGACTTCACTTCCACTGCCAATACAGGGGTATCTCGCTACTCCCCGTTTTACAACAATACCTGGAAGTGTTGTCTATAGTCACTGTCTGCAGTTCCTCTCATTCCATTCTTTCTTAAATCCACATATCGGGCTTTTGCACTGGTCATGGGTTTCTTTTCTTCTCTATCTACACTCTGTCTAGCCCTTAGCTCATCCAGGCTCGTGGCTTGGATGAGACATGTTGACAGCTCCTAATGTCTGTCTCCCACCTGGACCTCTCCCCTGAGCTCCAGGCTTCTTGACAGCTGCACTTTGATGTGTGATACACATCTTCGACTGAACATGTCGAAAGTTAAATGTTTTGATCTTTCCTGCCAAACCTGCTCCGTATACAGATCTCACCAACTCAGCTATGGCACTCCTACCCTTTTAGTTGCTCAATCCAAAAACCTTAAATTCGTCTTTGATTCCTTTCTCTTTTTTTTTTCATGCACATATCTAAACTTTCAAGAAATTCTAGAGGCTCAACTTTCAAAATACATAGAGAATCTGACCCCTCCTCCCACTTCCATGGCCATCGCCCTGGTCTAGCCACTGTCTTGTCTGGCCTGGATGTGGCAGTAGCCTCTAACTGGTCTTCCACCTTTGTGCCCTTACAGACAATTCTCAACACAGCAGCCAGAATGATCTTTTAAAGCATAAATCAAACCATGTTATTCTTATGCTCAAAACCCTACGAAACCCCCCATTTCACTTAGAATAAAACCTATAAGGCTATATACAATCTGGCCTCCATGACCCCTATAATTTCATTTCTTAGTGTTTTGCTCACTCTTCTCAATCCTTCCCCTCACCTCACCACCCCTCTGTAACTGCTTTTCCCACCAACTTCACATCTTTGCAAAAAAAAAAAAAAAAAAAAAGCTATCTTAATGAGGCAGCTTTTAAAATGACCCTATTGCAATCCCTTTCATTCTCAATCCTCCTTATCTTTAATCCATAGTAATTATCATCTTTTAACATGTACTATAATTCACTTCTTTATTACTTCTTTATTATATTTATTGCCCGTCTCCCTTCCATGAGACTGTAACCTCCATGAGGGCAGCAAGGTTCATGCATTTTTTTTTTCAGGCAAGGCAACCCTTGGTTAACCTCACAGATTACGAGGACCTTGTCAGTTTACAATCTCTAATTTTTTATTTTTTATACCTACAGCACCTGGTCTTCCTAGGTAGTCTCCCATCCAAGTACTAACCAGGCCCAACCCTGCTTAGCTTCCGAGATCAGACGGGATTGGGCTCGTTCAAGGTGGCATGGCCGTAGACACATGCATTTTGTTTTTTGATGTATCCTCAGCACCTAGACGAGTGCCTGAACCAGTGTAGGTATTACATGAATATTGTCGAATGAATGAATGTTAGAGGAGTATATATTTGTGCCATGGCTCTTCCAGGTCCTACATTAGAGGCTCCTTACAGCTGTGCCTTTAGATCCAGAGGAAGAAGCCAATCCCTTTGTCCTGTGCTGTGATCATTTCTCCCACCAAAACCACAGTTTTAGTCAACAGAAATCTGAAGAGCCACGGTACATTATTTTAGTTTCAGAGGGGAAAAGTGGTATCATACTTCCTAATTCCTGGCTTTATGATCATTTCCCCAATTCAAAGAAATAGGTTGCTCCTCTGGCCACCACTGGAGGTTGGCATTTTTCCCAGTCTAACAGTTGGAGTGCTGGGCTGGGCTCTTTCCAGGGAGATGGGAAGAGCTGAATTATTTTTAAGTTCCCGGTGTGTAGCCTCTTTGTCCCTATTGGTGAAATTGAAGCTAGCACTTCCACGATCATAGCTGACAAAAGGAAACCACTGTGCTGGTGTCTCCAACGCCTCCAAGAAAGGGAACCTAATTATTTTGTTTTGAGTAGCTAGTGAGTTGGCCTAATTTCTCTCTCATCTACTTTTTTTTCTCATCTCTCCTTTTTTTAAATACACTTTAAAAATTTGAATTTAGATTTACAGAAAAATCACAGATAGTACAGTTCCATATCCTAGACCCTAATCTCCCTATTATTAACATTTAATATTAATATTCATCCTATACTTTAACATTTAAACTGAATTGTAGCTTTCAAC